TGCACCATATGGGTCAGCTCCCTGGCCAGGGAACAAACTCAGGCTGCAGCAGCCATAGCTTGATAATAGTGAGTCAATCTCTCTGCCATCAGAGAGGCCCTATAAATTTGTATTCTTGAGCAAAATACTGCCTATTTTGCTCTGTTTTTAAACAATAATTTGAACTTTCTGTTATTATTATTATTCTGTAACTTGCCTTTTCTCACTAACCAGAATGCTTTTGAGATTTTCCTTTATTATTGTATATAACTGTGGGCCATTCATTTTTTATTTTATGAACATACTAAAATATATTAATCCAGTCAGTTGTTGATGGGCACTTGGGCTATATTTAGGTTTTAATTTTTTTTGTATTAAAAATGATGCTATGATTATTCTTGTCTGTGGTTCCTGCTACAAAGGTGTAAAACATCTAGATTACAAATTTTGGAGTGGACCTTCTGGCCCATTCAATATATGAATTTTCAATTTTATTCCACAAACACTTCCCAAATTGTTCAAATCAGTTTACATATCCATTAGCAATATCTGAACAGTTTTGTCGCTCCATATCTTCATCAACACTTAGTTCTGTTAAACTTTTAAATTTTGCCAAATAGTATTTTGTCATTTTACTTTGCATTTTTCTTGTTAACTAATGAGATGGAGCAATTTTTTATATGTTGATGGACAATTCATGTTTTCTCTCTTAGAAAATACCTTTTCATGTCTTCTGTCAATTTTCTATTGAGATTGTCTTTTTCTTATTTATTCCTAGGAGTTCCTTCTAAATGTGGATTCTAATCATTTATGAGATAAAAGTTTTGCAAAAAATTCTCTCCTGAATATGTTGATCAGTGTATCATTCTACTTACTGTGTTTTCTGATAAAGTCATTTTTAGTTTTTAATTTAGCAAATATAAATTTATGATTTATCAAGTATTCTAATTTTAGGGTGTGTTTTGTGTGTTTGAAGAAATTCTGCTCTATCCTACCTATGCACAAAGATTGTGCTCTACCTTATGCACAATTCTCTTAATTGTCAATCTATGTGTACACACACATTTAAATGTTTAATCCATCAGAAATTGATATGTGTGTGCATTATTCCCAGAGGGGTACCCTATTGTTGCGGTTCCACCTATTAACTAGCACGTCTTTTCCCACTGTGCTGCAATGCTTTCTCTCATAAATAAATCTCCATAGAGTTGTGGCTCTGCTTGGGGGCTCTCTGTTCTATAGTGGGGGGCCTCTCTGTGCACCAATACCACACTGATTTAATTACTATTGATAGCTGACAGAGTGAGTCCCCACTCTTTGTTTTTCTTCCGTAGTGTTTTGGTTATTCTTTCAAATAAGTTTGAGAAAGGTTTGGCAGTGTCCCCCAAAAAATCATTTTTTAAATCTTTTTAAAAATTATATTAAATTTACAGATGAATTTAAGGATTTTTACCTCCTTTTCATTCATAATCTTCTAATTCATTGGTATGGTAAACCTTTCCAATGATTAATATCTTCTTTAATGTCATCCAAGAATTTTTTTCCCTAATTTTATCTGCAAAGACCTTATATAATATTTTAAAATCTTATTTGAAAATACTGCATATTTTAGTTGGAAATCATTTTATTCATGACACTTTCAACTTTTCTAGCTGTTACTGCATGTAAAAATGCAAAGCAACCACTCACACACATATTTTTGATAATGCCAATGTATACATTTTTTAAAGATTTATTTTTATTTTTTTATGCATACAGAACTAGTGTATAGGCCAGAGGTGAGGGGGGTGAGAGGATTCACCAGAGACAAAGTGGGAAACAGAACAGGTAAATCTAATGGCGTACACTATTGAGGGGCGGAGAGGGCAAGACAGAGTTCTGTTATATCTGTGTGTCAGCTCCCTGACCAGGATCAAAATCTTGCCACAGTGACTGGCCACAGCTCAATAGCACTGAGACTTTAACCCCTGCACCACCAGAAAGGCCCTCCAATGTACGCATTTTAATTGTACATCATTTTTGAGTTTTCCACGAAGAAATAGAAAATCATACCAACAAAAAATAGTAGCAACAAAAAGCATAATCCATATACTTCCAGACTCCTTTGTCTTATTGTGTGTGGAAGGTAACCAATCTAATGTTAATAAGAGCAAGTAACTTTATCTTATTCTGATTCTATGGGTAAATTCAGTTTGTGAAAATTTATCAACTGTGCAAGTTATGAGTTGTGCATTCTTGTAGCACTATGTTGTACTTTAATAAAAAGCAAAGGTGCTTTTTATTATACATACCAGTTCTGGTATGCATAAATAATAAAAATAAATCTTTAAAAAATGTATATTGGCATTATAGGAAATATGTGTGTCTGTGTGTGTGTGTGTGTTGGGGAATATTTCCCCAACATCATAACGTCTCTTTATAATTGTATGCTCTAAGGATGCCACTGAGCAGGTTTGAACCTGTCTATGTTCAACCTGACTGTATATTATTGGAGAAAAGAAGTCTTGAGTAAGAACATCCATAGCTGCTTTCAAGTATTTGAAGAACTACCAAATGGAGGGGACCTGACATAGACTTAGCCCAAGAGGGTAGAAGGGGGAGGAGAGATGGAGAGGAAGGAGAGCAGATTTCCATTGAAAAAGAAGGAAAAGCCTTCCAACATCATTGTTGTCTAATCACTGGACAGGCTTCTTGAAAAAAATGAGCTCCCTGATTCTGGACCCATCCAAGCAGGGCTGGACACACACAACAATCAGGCACACTGGGCAAGGCCACCCAGACTGAGTGGGGGTGTGAACCATATTATGCCTCTGTCTCTTCCAACTCCAGGTTTTGAGGGTTTTTTTCTAAGAATCGAGTTCATCCTTTTAGTGGATGGTCTATCAACTCCTCTCCTAAAACTTCGAAAGCAAACATTAAAGTTAACAAAGGCCCAATTGTTTATGGGACAATACTGATGAAGCACATTCAAATTTGATTAAGAAAAAGGGAGAAACATTAGCATTCCTTTCTTCCAAAGAAGTACAGAGTAATAGGTGACCATCCAACAATCATGAATAAAAGTGTAATTCTCTTTATTTTCACCCCAAGTCTCCTGAATATTGTGCTGTTTTTGAGGGTGCCCTTCCTTCTATAATCGTCTCAAATAATGAGCAAAGTGGTTTAGGAACTCACTGCGGTGAAATCCAATAGAAGAAAAAGACTGTTAATGAGGTTGCTGCCTTCTTTGAAGGCTGCCTTCTTTGAAGGTGAAGTTTCCAAGATTTTTATGAGGAAGATAATTCTGTGCTTTACTTTACAGTCCGTGGCTTTATTTTTACTTTGATTCCATCAAGCTCCTTCTTTCTAGCAAATCTCCAGTTTGTTGGCAGATAAAAATACCTTCTCAGAGTCTCCCAGAAGCTGCGCCATCAGTCTCATTGACTAGGAAGCCTTTCTTGTGCCGCTATAGAAATGTCTTCCTTCTCCACCCCCGGCTCGGCTTACCCGAATCGAAGTCTTTTTCAGTCTTAGTCGGTTGTTCTCAAAAAAAAAAAAAAAAAAAAAAAACCAAAACACCAAAACCCTGAAGTCCTAACACAGTTGAGCCTAACAAGGTGACCCCTTTAGGGCACACCGGGGGTTTAGCGCTTCTGTTCCCTCGGCTAACCGGGGAGAGCTGCGCCCCCTCTATGTGCGCGGGAAGAGTACTCTAGCCAAGCCGAGAAATCCGTTACCAGGCTGCTGAGTCCCCAAGGGCCATTCCAGGGCGGAAGGAGACGGGGAAAACCGTTGTATAGATTCCCCGACCCTATGGGCTGAGCGCGCAGCTGGCCAGGTTACAGACAGGTGAGTCTGGCGGGCGAGCTGCGGGCACCAGAACAGCTAGCCAGACGCTTCCCCGCAACCTCTGGAGCTAGCCCACCATCCACAGGAGGGGGGCGCCCACAGCAGAAGTCGAGACACTGCGGTGCGTTCCAGGGTGAACCCCAGCAGGAGCCGTGGGAGAGACTGCGAGTTCTCCAACGCCGGCACAGAAGCAGAAACTTGGCATCTTTCTCTTACCAACTCCCCTTCCTCCTCTTTCTCGCCTCCCCAGGTATAAAGGTAGATCGAAAAACCAAAACCAAAAATAAATACAAAGCTCTCCAACCACCTTCCCAGTAGGGGCTGTAAGGGGAGGTAGCCCATCTTCACTTGATTGGTTTCCTGACAAGGTATTCCCCAGTTTCAGAATTTGGGGAGCAGACGGTTAAGGGAGGTATTAAAGGGAGTGGGCGAAGATTAAAATGTGTTCCGAAGCTGCGTTTGCAAAACATGCGCTTCACTTTTGTTTCCAGTGTACGTGTTTGTTTAGGGGTGAAGGGGTTCGTGCGGCGTAAGCTGCTTTGGTGGAGCCAGTCGACTTGTTTTTCTTAGGTTGTATGGCACAAATTGGTAAAATAACCTTTTAAAATAAATTAAATAATATGCTGGATTTTAAATTTTGCTTCTGTCGTTATTTAGAGGACTTTTGTAGATGATGGGGAATTGAAGCTTCGAAGTACCTCTTTTACCAGAGCTTTGTCCGGGGGGGAACCTCCCTGCCTCCTCCCCCTTCTGCCGGCCGAGATTTCAACAAGCCCGGGGAACGCTCCATAAAGTCCAGAGGAACTGAGCCATTTTCTGGCGTGCTTGTCGGAGACAAATCCACTTGGAGCGGGGGTGGGGGGGACAACTCGCAGGAGGCTTCGACTTTGGGGAAGAATGCCCTGAGAAGCGGGTCTGAGGTTTACCTCAAAGAGCGCGCCCTGAGGTGCCTGAACTGGGAAATGGGGTAGGGGGTTAATTAAAAAACGTTCTTCCTTTTTTAAGGGGAGGGGGGAAGAATCAGACGTTAAATTCTTTTGCAAACATTCATGCCTAAGGAAGGGCTGGAACAGGCAGCCCTGGCCGCCGGAACCGGTCGGACAGGTAGCGAGCTTGTTGACACCGTTATGTTGCAGGGCGCATGCTCACTCCCAAGTTTCCTGGTGCCTTTTCTATTCCACCTTATGAAACTTTTTCTTCGGCGTGGTCTCACCCGCGATTTAAGGCATAGGTGTCGCCAAGCCGGGAGGCTGGGAGTCGCCGGGTGTGCGGGGGAGAAGCTTGGGCTGTGCAGCGGCGAGGGGGCGGAGGGAGAGGGCAGGCTAGGCGGGAAGGTGGGCTCTGGCCGCCAGGAGCGGGGGATCGAGCCACCGCCGCCGGCCCTAGCGGGGATCAAACAAGAGGAAGGGGCCGCAGTCCTGGGAGGGGGCCCCACCATGCCCAAAGCCTTCCTGGTGAAGAGGAGGAGCTTGGGGGTCGCCGTCCGCAGCTGGGATGAGCTCCCGGATGAGGAAAGGGCAGACACCTACATCCCAGGTGAGCACCGCGCGGGGGTCTGGCCTGGGCGCGGGGCTCCCGGGTGGAGGCGGGGGCAGCTGGGTCCCTTCTGCCCACCCGTATTCCTCCCCACCCCATACCCCTCTTCCCGAAGAGGGCGGGGAAGGAGGAGGTTACTGAAGCGCCGGAGGACCTAGACTGAGAGACTAGGATACCTAGGATTCCCTGCGCCCCCTTCTCCCTAGTAGGCGCCTCTAATTTCCCTGCGGCGGGACCGTTGGCTGCAGCGCGGACTGAGGTGGGCCAGCAGCGGGGATTGAAGGCCAGTAGGGACCACCCTAGTCCCTTGTCCTCAGGGATTGCACCAGGACCCGTCGATCCCTCAGGGACTAAGTGGGTGGAGGTCAACCTACCCCAACCCCCACCCCAAGGGAAGGAAACTTGGCGTGTGGGGTCCCCAGCCAAGCGTGCCCCTCAGTTCCTCGTGAGCGCGGGGACTGGGGCCGAGGAGCGTTCTTCGGATCCCCGAGCTTCTAGGGAGATCAAGACGGGGGCTCGCACACCCACCCCTCATGGCGTTGCCCTTTTGGCAAGGTGCCCAGGTCCGGGGCGGGGCGGCGCGGCGCGGCGGCGGCACCGCCCGCAGGTCAAACTGCCGCTGGCGCGCGGGCCTGACGCCGCGTGTCTGTGTGTCGGGGCGCGGTCCCTCCCTCTGCAGTGGGACTAGGCTGTCTGCTCCACGACCCCCCAGAAGACTGCCGCAGCGACGGCGGTAGCAGCAGCGGCGGCGGCGGTAGCAGCGCGGGGGAACCCGGAGGCGCGGAAGGTAACTCGTCCCCGCGCGCCCCGGAATGCGAAACCCCGGAGCTTGGCGACGCCGAGGGCCGCGATGAACTTCTGGAGGCGAAGCAGCGCCCGGTCGCCAGGTCGAAAATCAAGGTACGGTGTCGACTCTGCCCCTGCCACCACCTGCACCACGCCCTGGCGTCGGACTCCTGGAGCTGGCACCCCTCCCTACCGCGCCCGCCTGCACACGGGGGCACCAGTGCTCCTAGCGCGCAGCGGAGCTCCTGCACCTGCCCCTGGGTCACGGCCAGGGCGCCTCCGCGCGTCCTCTCCTACTGGTAGCCAGCTGCCCGCGCCGCTGTGCCCCAGGGTCCAGCTCCCACTGTGGGCGCAGTCGGTCAGGGTAGCCCCTGGAACTGCCTAAAAGGCCCAGCTCCCACTGGGAACCCATTCTGTGTGAATACCAAACTGGCTGTCTGGGTTTTCGGGGTTGGGAAGGAGGGACCCTAGCTCTCAGGAATTCCGGAAGCAATTTCTAATGCCCTGTAATTCCAAGAGCTTCACACCCTTCCTTGCTCCCTGGAGACTGTGGTTCCAGTTTGGCGCACTTTGGTCCTCTTGCTGTCACAGCTATCCCCGGCGCTAATTTTAACATGTCCAATAGACATGAGGTCTGTGATAGCCATATGAGAGAGATTTGTCACGTCTCTCAAATTTTCTTGGAGTAAGTTGGTAGATAAAAGTCTCACTACAGATCGCCTGAGTGCCCCGCCCAGCGGGTGAAGCGGTTGTCTCTCTCCGCGCTGTTTGGCACTTCAATCCTCCTACGCTGTTTGGCGCTTCAATCCTCCTACCCCGCCGGGTCTTCTATTATAGAATTTTAAGCGACATTTCATCCTGACACCCATTTAAGCTTTACTCGGTGGACCTTCCGTGATAGCCAGCTCAAAGAGATCCCCTACCACCATGATTAAGGAATCCAATCCATCGATCCACAGCCAACCTCAGCCCCGTGGTGGTGTTTTAGGAATCACACAACCCCATTTCCTAGCCTGTTGGGACATGTTGTGGCCGTTTGTGGACTCCAGGCCTAGAGTAGACTAGAGCTCTCAGGCGCTCCAGGGTGGCCCTGAAGCTTCCTTTCATGCACGGTGGGATGGGGACGGAAGAATTTAAACCGTTGAGGCTGTTTGGGAAAGCCTAGGACACTCCCTGGAAGAGGGAAAGCTACCCACTCGGTGCTTATTCCAGTCGGTGTCTGGGCTCCAGGCTGGCTGGGGATCATTTGGTTATGAATAGAGCCTAGAGCCAGAATCCTTAGAAAAGACTTCGTTAAAGCCGCTGCGCTAAACTTGGGCTTGCTATTTCATGGTAGATGTATTCTAGAGGTTCAAAGTCAGCTGCGGAAAGGCTTTGCTGGGACTGATGGGGTTAAGTGGGAGGGAATGGTCTGCCTGGGGCTGGTAGCATTGCCCTCCAGGAAATTCTATAAAGTGTCCCACTTGCATATTTATCATCTAGCTGGAAAGACAATTGGAACGTTGTTTTGGAATAAACTGTAGTCAGTTTGGCCCCCAGGCCCCCAGTTGCTCAGATTATCCTGGAAAGAAAGTGGTAGAGGAGAAGGATCTAGTCCCATAACCAACATTTTAGAGGATTTCTCTTTCCTGCCCCAGGCAAACAGCACCATTGGGATCTTGGATTAAGGAGCCAATAAACCAATTTGATTTCCTTGATCTTTGCCTCTGTGCTGCCCCCAGGGGTGGGGGTGGGGTATAGAGTTTGCTCTTCAATCATTAACACAGTTTCCGCACAAATTTTTGTTCATTGAGGACCTTTAGATTCCTTGTCTCTCTCAGATGCCTCCCATAAATAGGGGACCTCTTGGTGTTAAGATGCTCCAAGACTCCAAAATTATCAGCTATGGTATGGCCCGTTTTCAAAGGACTGGCCAGATTATCCTTGGTTTAGCTCATGTTGTGCAATTCTACAGTGAAAACTTGCCCACTCTCCAAGAATTAAGTTTCTTAAGCAGAAGAATAGGAGAGCCACTCAAGGGTGAAGCCCATACCATGGGGCATTGTTTTAACGACTTAACCCTCACAGGGCACTTGGCTCCTAGGACCAGGGGAAGGGCAGGTTTGAGCCGGTGCCCTGCAGAGAAGCAACATCAACATGGCATTTACTTTTAAGGAGTTCCTGTTGTGTGTAAGGCAGCCAGGAGATAAAAATGTCCCCATCCTCCTTCCAAAATCTAACAGTAACAGTTTAGCCTCTAGGCTGTGACTTTGCCACTTGTCGGTTGTCTAAAATTGGGGTAAAAATGATAACATGCCTCACTGAGTTGTGAAGATACAGAGTTAAGGGTGACCAGGTGGGTACCCCATAATGTTAGCTGGAGTTATTTGGGTTGGTGGGAGACACACATATTGTTACCTTTATTGTAGAACAATGAATGCTAAACCAGAAGCTTAGTTAAACATATGCTAAATCCTGAGCTGGGAAGGGTATAAATTTGAGAGCCGTGGAGAAGAGAGCAATTCAGGCGTTAGGGTGTGTGGGCTGAGCCCAAAGCTTGAGTAAGGGAAAGACTTGGAAGCCATGGTGGCTGGAGGGAATGTGAAACAAGTCTGGTGAGGCCAGTGGGAGGTGAGGAACTGGAAATGTAGCTCTGCCAGGGCAAGGCAGTGAACCCAAGTGTGGCTCTGTGTGGGCAGAAGAGGTTCTGGAAAGTCAGTGACTAGGAAAACCTCTACTGGGTCCATCTTACCCATTGTGGTTGGGGCTGCATTGTCTGGTATGAATCTTAGTTCCCTGATCTGTAAAATAGAGAAATAATAGAATTAGCCACTCATAGTACTGTTTGGATGGAGATAATGCGTGCAAATGTTTACCACTTGTGTGTATATATAAACTGCCTGATAGGGAGTTAGCTGACAGTGACACATAGCAAGATTTGTGAACATCCAATACTTTATTGCCTACAATAGACACAGGGATTTACCAACTGGATTGTTTTAATAAGTGCTTTTGGACAGGTGGTGCCAATTAGGAAATACAGACTTTACCACCTATCTATGAGTCGACTCTGTGCCTTGGGGCAGGTTATGAAATGGTCTTCTCACAACTGAGGATTCTGTAATTCACAAAATACATAGATGGGGTAGAGAGATGATATATACCCAAGAAAATGTTCATGCCAAGCCCCATTTGCTTTAAAGGTCTTTTGTGCTGAATCCATTTGCAGTCCTCCAGCTGTGGATTAGAAACCCCTAATCGCCACTGTACTTGGAAGGGTCACTGGAAACAAAATAACTGTGAAGTTCAACCAAGTAGTTAACTAATGTTATTTGTTCTTGACTCAGAGAAGCAAATGGCTTTGTCTTCTCACCTCACCCTATTTTGCTCTCTCTTTTTTTGACCTTTCCCAAGGATTCTTTGAAAGGTATTGAGGGTATAATTTCTTCAAAATTGATTTATTTCCATCTTTTACCTGGCCTATAGTCTTAGTCTTCCAGTAGTGACAGATGTGTAAATGTAGAACAGTCCTTTTTCCATCAAGCTTTATTGTGGATCATTTCAAAGATACCCAACAACCATTAATTCACGACCTATTGTGCCCTTCCGTGATTTTGAAGCAAAACTCAGATATTCTACTTCAACCATAAGTCTCTTAGAATGTTTCTCTAATACATAAAGACCAATATACATGCTCATATCCACATTGACATTGGTGTCCACTTTGCTGATTGTCTCTGAATTCACACATTTTTTTTTCCGTTTCCTGAATCAGTTCCACATATGATCCAACATTGTCATGACTGATGTGTCTTTTTAAATCTCTTCCAAGTTCAATACCCACTAACTCTTTTTCATATCCTTACAAGTTCATTGTCAAAAGAGATGGGTGGTTTGTTTTGAAGACTTTCTAGAATCTGGATTTGCAGAATGTGTCATTGCAGTGCCTGATGTGCCTTAGTCTATGTTCTCTCTAGTTGAGTGGCTGAATCTGCAGTTGTCCCATCCAGCGTGGTTGTCATGGCTATGTGGACTTAATTAATCAAATTAAGTAGAATTAGAAATTAAGTTCCTTACCTGTACAGCTCATATTCAAGTACTCAATAGCCACATGTGACTAGTGTCCACTGTACTGGAATAGAACAGACTAGAACACTTCTGCCACCGCAGTGTTCTATTGGGCAACACTGCTGGAGATACTTGATCAGATTTATTTCTGCTAAAAACATGTCATGGTGGAGGGCATCTATTTCCATCAGGGCGAAGTAATGTTTGATTGTTTCTATGAGGTTATAGTTGTTGGTGCTCAAGGTCTAAATATTTCAGCTTAGTAGAGATTTGTAAAACAGTGCTATTCTAAAGGTGTCCTTTATTTATATTAGTGATATTCTGCTATGGAGAGACTCCCCTATCTGCTATTTGGTTTGCTAGTGAGATTGTTCCTTTAGGAAAGACAGAATAAGATTCCCCCTATTTACCAGTTTCAAGATAGTCAATTGGTTCACCAGAAGTCTATAATGATAGCTTATTTTTCCTTTTAAAGTATTTTTGTGAATCATAGCTTTAAGTAGTTCTTAAAAACCTACCCACTCGATATTTGCTAAAAGACAAAAGATTTATTTGATCCAAAGAGAAGCAAGCTCATCTACTTGAAATTTGGAAGGGAACATAAACTCTGTCCCTAATTCTTGTTTATTGTGTCTCCCAAGACAGAGTCAAATGTCCTTTCTCCTGTCCCCTTTGTGACTCACTGACCATCCCTACATTTGGCTGACTAGACTCGTAACTCTGGCCCCACCAAAGGTAGGAAACATTCCTACTGTGCTTATACACCCAGAATTGGGCCATCTAGACCATTGCAGCTGCCACCTCTATGCCTTCTGCTCCTGTCTCAAGAAAGTCTACTAGAGCCAAGTATAAGTCAATCACCTCATATCTGCCCTCTATTTAATTCAGGCCTGAACTCAATTCTCCTGAGAGTATTTATAATTTGAAGAACCTAAGTCATATCTAAAAACTCTAGCTGTAAGGAAATCTGGTAAATGTAGTTTGTGGTTTTTAGTGTCTGTAGTCCCAGAAGGCCCAACAGGACTCTGCTGGGTGTCCATGTGTAGGATCTACTACCAGGGCCTTTCTGTTGTCCCATTTCTTCATTTTCAAGGAGAGAACATTAAAAACAAGCCAGGTTTCATTGAATCTCTCCAAGTTGTTAGTGGCAAAGCCCACTGCAAGAATCCTTATTCTTTGAGCCTTGTTGCATTACAATGTGGGATGTATCTTTGACAGTTTAATCATTAATATAGACGTTTGACTTGAAGGGATCTGAAACTATTTCTCACCAAGATATGAGGCAAAAAAAAGATTAATTCTCTCTCCCTCTACACCATACCAGACTATGGGCCTTTCTAGGGGATATGTAGACACAGTTGTTTAGACAACAAGCCCCAGTAAAAATCTCAGTGGGAGATTTTTATTAAGTCATTTGATCACAGGAAGATTATAGCTCTTTGAGGTTCAGTTTCTTCCAGATTAAAAAAATACATTCTTTTCATCATCTTTGCATTGAGATAGTACTCCATTCTGCCATGTAACAGTTTTGAATCCCAAGGAAACAAATGATTCTTGAGTCCGGGAGGGGGATTTTTACCTCATTGGAATTGGGGAACATGCTTAGCCTGTTGTGAACACTTGACCCTGGCAAATGTGTCAGTGGGAATCTTGTTCAAATGGTCACCAGACGGTCTGGACTTCCAGTTCCCTCTCATAGGAAGCAGATCCATTTACTTAATGAACTTGTTCTGTGGAAGCATCAAGAAAAAATAAAAGGAACTTCTTGTCATTATTGCTTTTCCTTTAGAAGTTTGACAGGTAAGTGATCTTAGCCAGTCAATGTCCCTGCCTCCCTGGACCTGATACAATGATCAGTTTGTTTTGCTGCAGAGGCCTATTTTTTAGAACTAGAGTGCTGTGTTTTTTAAAATGAAAGCTGATATCCTGCAGAAAACAGGACAGTGGGCCAGAGAGTGCTAAGCAGTAAGGTTGGAGAAATACTCTCTTCCTCTTAACTTGCCCCAGCTAATCTCTCAATTGCTGTTAACCCCCCTCCTTTCATGGTAACCTCCCTACTTAGTAGGACTTTTTTTGCAAACTGTTAATTTTGGGTGAAGGCTAAGCCTATAAAGCTTTTTCAGAAGGTAGCCTGGCATGAATACCACCCCCACAGGTCTGGAACAGTATTCTGTAATTCAGTACATTAATAATTCCTGTATCAAAACACATAGATATTGACACCAAATGGAATGACGTCTATATGTAGCTTCACATCTGCTTGGGCCAGGTTTTGCTGCTAAAGGAATTGAGAGAATGTTGCTCTGCAAAGCCTTTTTGATTTCAGAGAAGCTGATTCTCTTTTTCTTTCATCAGAGAGAAAAACTCAAAGTTCAATGTATAAACAAGGAATTGTTGATTTTTATAGGGGATCACAGAATTTTGGAACTAGTTTACCTGTAGTACTGCTTTTGGGGCATAGTTTATTTAATATTTAAATATTTCATATAAAGCATTTAATATTTAAATCCCTAAAAATCCAAGAGGCATAGATAACTATTATCCACTTTTTTTTTTTTAAGATTTATTTATTTTTGCGTACAGAACTGGTGTATAGGCCAGAGGTGTAGAGGCAGTGAGAGACTTCACCAGAGACAGAGTGGGGAGCAGAACAGGCAGATTGATGAAGTACACTGCTGAGGGGAGCAGCGGGCTGGTCAGGAGAGTTCTGCGGCGCCATGTGGATCACCTCCCCGGCTGGATCGAACTCATGCTGAAGTGGCTTTAGCTTCTTAGTGCTGTGCTTCAACCTGCTGCGCCACCAGAGAGGGCCCCTACTATCCATTATTTTTACAGATGAGACAATTAAGGCATAGTGAGGCTGAGTTGACTGGCCTATGTCCTGCAGGTTTTAGATGGAGGAGTTAGACTTGAACTTAGGAAAAAGAGGTCATCTAATATTACTCTGTTGTTTTTACATATGGGAAATTATGGCCCAGGGATATTAAATGACATGCGACTAGCCAGGTCTAAGTTTTTATTTACTCTCAGCATTCTTTGTCTCTCCATTCCACTATCCTTTTGTAACTAAGATGACTAAGATGTAACTAGTTTTCTCTTGCAGAGTAGGGATGAGGATAAAATTGGTTAACCCTATTTTGAAGATGTAAGAGTATCAAGTAGAAACCCTCTTAACCATAATAAAGATGACCCAGAGAAGGAAAGCAGGACCTCTGGGATAGCATTCTAGAAAACCCAGGTCTTTCGCATCATCCCATCCTGAGAGAGAACACTCAAAAATTGGCAGATCTGGTATTTTGGAGAGACTGTGCCACATCTGATACAGTTCCAGCTGTTTCACATTTTTGGAGTATAAAATAATTTATTGTTGCATTTTTTGGTTCTGGGAAATGACTGGGATTAGCAGAGTGATTCTTTCCTGGGGATTTGCTTACAGTTGCAATCAGCTGGGGCTAGAGTCTTCTGCAAATTTGGCTGGACTGGGTATGGAAGGGTCTCACTCACATGGCTGTTGAATTGTCTCTTTTCCTTTTTCCCAGTTGCTTTGATTATATAGTTCTACCATCATTTTTAAAACAAGCCCCTGTTGATAAATATAGGTAGTTTCCAATCTTTTGCTATTACAGACCCGTTTCCAGACACATGATTGTGAAGTTTAAGCAGTGGGATGAAATTCACATTTAGGAATTTAGCCTACAGACATTTCTTTCTGAGAATGAAATACTCTGAGGGAAGCTGGCTTCATCAGCCATGATTTTTGCCATTTATCTAATCTTAATTCTTTCAACAAGCTCTCTTCAAGATTCAAATATAATTTGCTAACCTTGGACGGCATTGGTCATACATGTGTTATGGCAAACGGCACCTCGTGGGTTGGCGGATACACCACTTTAGGGGAACCCCCTAAATGAGGGCACTTGTAGTGCTTCAGTTTCCATGTTGTCAATTGGGGGTGTATAAAAAAGGGAAGAAACAAACAAAAAAATTGCCTTTGCTGAGACATGCTTGGAAAACTCCTGGTTTTCTCTGAGAAAACCTTGCCCTGGAAGTGGGACCCTCGATCACCAGTCACCTCCTCTATTCTCATTTTCTCCCTGTTTTAAAACACTTTCTGTATCTTGGTCAGGTGATTCATTGGCTCTGTACACCCTTAAATTGTCACTAATCTCTCTGCTTATTGGCCTTCTGGAGTTTATTCTTTTCAAAGAGAATAATGCCAGTGATTTGAGATTTTCATCCTGGACTGTAATAGGAGGTATCCATATTACATGTAGAGCATTTCAAAAATAGGAATTTACCAAACGGATTAAAGTAAACAAAAATTCAGGGTTGAACTGAGGTTGGCAAGTCCTTAAGCATATTCTCTAAGGCTTTAAAAGACTGTTCCAGCCTTCTATAAGGTTTTCATTGGGATTCCCAGGATCAGTTTTCTATGTTCTATTTAACATCAAGTTTAACTTGGGTTAAACTCTAGATCCACTACACTCAGATTTTCTTGCCAACAGCCAACATAAATTTGTGCAGTCAGTAAATATAGTATTGTAAATGTTTTTTCACTCTTATGATTGTCTAGATGGCATTTTCTTTTCTCACCCTGACATCCCCTAACCATTTTCCCAACCTCACCTGCTGCACAGAGGTCAAACATTTACCTATTCCTACACCTAAAAACTGAAAAAGAAGCCTTACAGTCAGACCCTAAGGGACATTACTATAGGACTTCATTTCTAGCACATTCAAAACAGGGCAACTGTAAAGTATGCAGTTAGAAGTCTAGCGCTTGGTCAGAGTTAGAGAATGCAGTAGTTGGAGAAACTGTGTCAGGGAAGAAACAGTGGAACTGTTTCCCTGGGGAAGGCAATACCCCAGGTGGATGAAGGAAGAGGCTAGCAAGGTGTTGAACCAGGAAACTTTTGCTCTTGATGTTTGTGTGAAAATAAGTTTTTAGGTCCCTTATAAATAGAGTTTTTGGCAGAGCAATTGGATCCAGTTTCTGAAGGATCTGGTTTGTGACTATGAAACCTTTGACTATATCCAGTGGGTGTTTTTCATCCCATAGTTATAGATCCTGTTTTCTTCCTTAGAGGTGGCAGTTAAGAGTGTATCCATTTGGGGAGTCCAGAGCCCAGTATTTCACTTGATGGTGGTTTTGCTGATACTGAACCTGTGATACCTTTACTAATTTACTTCCCCAATGATCATTTTATTTGTTTATAATATTGTAGGTCGGGGACTGGGAGACAGCCAGGTTAAAAGTGCTATGCCAGGCTGGCTGGCAGGGTCACTAGCTGGCAGCTGCTGTAGACTGCCCTGCAAAATCCAGTCAGAGTTTATCATACTGGCTCCTCAGTGCTCCTGCACTGAGAGGGAGGCAGTAGGAGCTGCAGGGACTCATATGACCTGGAAATGACCCTAGATCAGCCCAGATCCAAGGGGAGAGGATGTGACCACCTCTTGACAGACACCACAGCATGGCAGCACAGGGAGAAAGAAAGTGATGATAATGTGATTGAGTACTGTCTAGCACGCTCCACACCTCATCAGAAACTAAATCCTCTCTTTCTGCTCCCCCCTTCTCAGCACCGGCTTCTCCTTTATGAAGCTGTTGACACTCCAGCCAGCCACAGGGATAAGGACAGCAGGCCTAGAAAGTACATTTTCAATCATGTCCATGACTTGTCTAAAGCCAGGAAATGTAAATGTGTAGCTGGGGGCAACCTCTCCATATAGAAATCAGAATTCTGTTTTAAGGGAGAAGGGGACAAAGGAGGTGGGGAGGAACTGCCCATTGTTTTACCATCCCTAAAACCAAAACTAGCTTGGAATGTGTAGGGACCAGAAGCCCCAATCAGGCCAAGCCCAGAGCCTCAGTGGGCTCCAGACTGAACTCATGGGGATGTGCTGCTGCACTGAGGTCCTCACAGCCCCTCTCTCTGTCCCAGTTCACCACAGGCACATGCAGCGACCCAGCCGTTTACAATTGTGACCTGTGTGGCAAAGGCTTCCGCCTGCAGCGCATGCTCAACCGACACCTCAAGTGTCACAACCAGGTAAAAAGGCACCTGTGCACCTTCTGCGGTAAAGGCTTCAACGATACCTTTGACCTGAAGAGGCACGTCCGCACGCACACAGGTAAGGATGGGGTGTGTGGTTCATTTTCGGTTTTGTTGTTCTAGCCAAGAGTGCCTTTTCCTTTCCCACCAAAGAACCAACTTGGGAGCAGCGGCCAGTGTGGTGTTTCTGGAAAAATCACAGGACGGGCAGGTGGGCAAGCCCATCTGGGTTTACCACCTGGCGTGTCCCCCCCCCCCCTTGGTCTGTTTTTGCCTCTGTAAAATGGAGATGATAATATAAGTTCTCATGAGGCACCAAACTATTCATGGGCTGGGAACGTTCTGAGGATTGTAGTGTCTGAGGTGGTGCTGGCAGCGATTATAGTTAAGCATTTGTCTGGACTGACTGCTAGAATGTGGTTCTTGGGGTCCTGCTGGTGGTATTTCATGCTTCTTTCTTGGGAAGGAGGCCTGTATCAAAATAGCATCATGTTCCACCTGAGAGTTCACAAAGAGAAAACGCTTGACTCACGGAGAGCTGACTAAGTCTTCCACTTGAGCTGCCAGCCTTGCAAGCACTGTCCCTTTAGTCTTCCTCTATTTGCCCGTCTATGAAGTATGTATATGGGTCTATACTGGCTCTACTTCACAGAGAATCTTGGGGTGCTCAGTCGCCTCTCTCACAGCCCTTCAATATGGTTGCTGCCTACAGCTTTATCTTAGGAATATCTGGTCTCCAGCTTCCTTGAGGTTACCATCCACAGGTCTGCCAGAATGATGCCTGGAGAACTGTAAGGATGCCACATCCCTCCTATAAAAACTCGGGAAGATGAAATGCAGGCACCTCATCTTGATGGGCTGCTATAAATTCCCTCACAATCAGGGTCCCATTTTCAAGTCCCTTTCCTTTCCCAGGCTATCCTATTTCATCTCATTTAAACCCATCCATCCTGACCCTCAGCCTCTTCCTCTATCTCTCTACTCCCCCTCCAGCCCCATAGAATTTACTAGAGGTAGTGCTCCTGATCCCTCAAACCCGTTTAGAGTGTTCAGGATTTCCCTTAACATTTTTGTAGGAATGGAAAGTGCCCACACCTTCCTCCGATGGGCCCCCACCCAGGACCTGTGCTCACATTTTTTTTAAATTACCCTTATGCATTTTTGTTCTTAGAATGCTGGCCATGAACTCCCTCCTGGGCCTGAGAAGAGTGTCCTCCACCTTAGAGAGGGTCTGGCATACTAATGGGTTCTTTCTCTTCCTTTTTAAACACTATTTCGAAAGAATGTTTCATGTCTGTAACATACATCGAGAAAAACGCATAAATCATATGTGCATAGTTCATCAAGTTTGTGGATTCTTTCAAAATGAACGAACCCTTATAACTAACTAGTACGCAGACCAAGCAACAGCCTCTGAAGTTGCAGCCCCTCCCTCATCCTCCCCACCCCTACCCTCCACCCCCATCATTGTCTTCTTCCCTATAGAGGCACCACTAGTCCTCGAACAGCCTACTTTACTGTGGCTGGGTTTTGAATGTGATAAAAATGGAACCCTGTAGTGTGTGTACTTGGGGGTCACTTGTTTGTACTTGTGTATACTTTGGCTGCCAGACCCCAAAGTAGTAAAACTTTGGCCTCTGCTCCTAGATTGGGGTAGGATAGAAAGTCCTCTGGGTGGTGGTGGGGGCCCTCTTAATGGGGGAGGCTCCCACAGTTGGTATCAAGTATCTGCAAAGCCAGCTTACATCCAGGGAGTTGGAGGAAATTGGGGCCACCAACCAGTCATTTGTCACTGGTATCTCGGAAGGTTCCTGAGCGTCTCGTCTCTACCTGAGGATGGCCTTGAGTGCATGGTCTTGCTGTGGCTCTTGGTCACACTCCCAACCCTGACCTTTAGGACAAAGTGAGGGAGGCATAGGGAACAACTCTAACTACTGGCACCTTTGGGTGGGAATGAACTTTGAGTTGGAGGAGGTGCCTCATCTGTGACTGAGTTTGTTCTTCACCGATGGAGAATTAACCCAGAATATTAGGGACTGATGACTTTCCGGTTGAGTCAGTGGTGTTATAGTTAAGGATTCCACGTCAAAGTCAATTGTGGGAACTTAATTATCATTTTTGCCTTAGTTTGTCTCTAACATGGGCACAGTGTTAGCACCTATCACCTAAAATGATAAATGAGGCTTCAGGGCTAGATTGTAGGTAGAACTTCCTGTATTATATGCATTTAGAAGCTATTCACTATTAGTAGTATAATTTAAAATAACTAGCAATGATAGGCCCTAAGGCTGTGGAGAGTTTCAACCAACGTCAGGGGAAATAGCTCACACATTTGACTGTGACATAGGAAAATACCACATGTCAGACAGAAGAGGTGCACTGTTGAACACCAAGGTGGCTTCTTGGAGGAGGTGGGCTTTCAACTAAGCAGCATTTCCACAACTGGACAGAAGGACAAAGGAATTGAAAAATCAGTGTCTTAGTTTTTCTTGACTCAAAAACAGACCCTGACAGAATGGATATGTGTATAAATAGCTTATTTGAGAGGCACAATAAGTGGTTGGGAAGAGGAAACAGAGGGGAAGACAGCAAGTAAGAATAACTGGGGCTCAGTTCCACGGAGGACCCTGTGAAGAAGCTACACTTCTAGATTGCTCCAGGGCTGAGGAAACTAGGGTATTAAGTATCAATACCCATCCCTCCTTACTTGGGCGTCTACCTTCAGACCCCCCCCACTCCTGATTAGTCTCTTCATCCTCACCCACTTGCAGGCTTATCATGTTTCTAGAGAACATTCTTAGGCAGGAGATGCAGGAAGCCACTGGTCTTACAGGGACTACGATGGCCTTGTGGCAGGCTGAGGGTATTCGGGTGGACGGTTGACACTGTTTGCCAAGGAGACAATGTGCCCTTTCCCAGGGAGGAAGACGGACTAGCAAATGAAGGGGGTGACTGCTGAGATGGGGATACCCTGCAGAGGACCACATGGTCTCCTCAGATAGCATCAGGCACCTGCCATCGGGTGTCAGTTGGTGGTTGCTTCTTTCATGTCAAGCCCTCAGAATTGACCCTGTTATTTCTAACACCCCCAAGGAGTTTGGTGCTATTGTTACCCCATTTTCTAGATTTAGGGAAGACTAGGCTTAAAGAGGTGAAACCCTAAGGGGTGGCTTGGAACCACAACTGACTGGTCCTGAAGCTCGCAGTCCTCTGCCCTGTATAGAGCACATTGCCCTCCCCAGCATTGTCCCTAAAGCAGGGCCCCCATCAGTCTTCCCCATTTTATTTTCTAGAAGCCTGTCTGCTCTGCAAAGAGAGGAGATAAAGGGGAATGCTGACCAGCACAGGCTGCACACTCCAGCCTGGATTTAGCAGGTGGCAGTGGCGCTTGTGAATGTGTGTTCAGTGAGGCCAAGATGTCCTCTGCCCACAGAATAGGCAAGAAATAGGTCTGCAGCCCCCCCCTTCCCCACCCCACCCACACCCTTGGCCTGAAGTGCTCAGCCTCTTCCTCAAAGGCGGAACTTGGGGTGACTCTTATGGGAGGAGCTGAACATCACTGGATTTGGTGAATAAGAGACGCCTCCCCCCTATGTTTTCCCCAAGGGTTTCATGTGCTTTATCCACGAGGGGATAAGCTAAAATTTAGGAGACAGCCATGTGTGAGGAAACCTGCAGCTGTACTGGCCTGTACCGCAGCCAATGGCCACATTTGTCTGCTGAGCCCTGGAAATTTAGTGAGTCCAATTGAGATGTGTTATTTGTGTGACAAACCTTAGATTTCAAACAATGTGGAAAAGAATGTAAAATATCTCAGTTTTTAAGTGTAGAACTTGGCACTGAAATGGTTATATTTAAACACTTGGGTCAAACAAAATATATCATTAAAATTTTTTTTTTTTTACTTATTTCAATGAGGATACAGGACATGTATAAATTAAAAGTGACTTAAATTTTTGTTGGACAGCACTAAGATAGCTGAAATCTATGCTAACCATTTTTATTTAAAGATTTATTTTTTATTTATGCATACAAGAACTGGAGGTGAGAGGGTTCACCACAGCCAGAATGGAGAGCAGGGCCAGTGGATCTACTGAAATACACTGCTGAGAGAGCAGCAGGCAGGTCAGGAGAGGTCTGCTGGGCCATGTGGGTTAGTTTCCTGGCTGGGGATCTAACTCATGCTGCAGTAGCTGAGTTACTACTTGCCACTGTGCCACCAGGGAGCCCCTACCTTCTCTAGCTGTATAAAAGGGATAATTAATAAAACGAGCAAAATCTGGGCATCGTAAGACTTTTTTTTAGCTCATGCTATCAACCTAACTTGATTCTAAAAGATCCCACCAGAGTTCGAGGTATTTGATTTTGCCTTTGATTGAGACACAAATGTTGGATTTTCACTCTTGGTGATCATAAATAAATGTTGTATTTAAGCCAGAAGCAAAGATGGACACTGTAATACAATACAGTAGACAGCTGAGAGAAGGGAATCCAGTAGACCGGGTCATGACTATTTTGTAGACCTATCTGGCATCCTAGAAATTTTCTATTGAGAACTGTAGCTACAATATTGATGGGGCAAAGGGTATAAGGGCAGAATCAGGATTAAGTCTCCCCACTCCTACCCCTCTTTAACCCATAACCACTCCTGTCTCCTAGAGTTACTTAAAGAACAGGGAGTCTAAGGAAAGACTCCCAACATGACGTTGTATCTTGGAACAGACCCAGGGAACCAGAGCCTGAAAATGTCTCACATTAATATCCAAGCAGATGAAAGAAAAGATTAAGACTTATTTTCTGGAGATGACTTCACCAAGAAAAGAGTAAACCAGAGGGGGATGTGTGTGGCAAGAGAGAGAGAGCATGTTAATTAAATGACACTTTACCCAAGATTGGAAAAGGGGTAAAACTGGCAGAAAAGTTCCATACAGTTTCTGAAAATCAATCAGCAAGCAGGTGATTGTTTTTAATCCAAATTTTTATAGGTCAGCATCTCTAGAAGCAGATTCTGAGATGGTGATTCTTATAAAATGACTGAGGAAGAGAGGCCTCTCAGGAGCAACCTGTCAGGAAGTGTGG